TACATGTATACAGTAATAAGTTTATTCTATGTAACGTACTGTAAGTAGTTTATTGTACAGTGGAACTCCGTTAATACGACCACCTTCGGGCCATAAAAAATTGGTCGTATTAACCGGGTGGTCGTATTAACGAGGTAGGGTCGCATTATGATACAACACGCCTTAAACACGTACTGCACATCAATACCTTTAACTCCGCTATATATCAACCTTTTTACAATAATTATTCCTCAATCTTAAAAAAGCAATTCATTGCAAAATGAACAGAACCGGGCACATGTAATGGGAGAAAACAATGACGTCTTTCAGTTCCTCAAGTGTTATTTGTCTGTTGTCATTCAGCTTCCTCACCAGCCAGTTTAACCAGTCGTATTAACGGGGTAATTTGCTAAAGGAAATAAGGACTGAGCACTCCAAGAGGTGGTCGTTGGTCGTAATAACGGGGTTTTCAGATAGGAGAACGTGTGGGCTTTTGCTTGGGCCATAAAAAAGTGGTCGTAATAAAGGGGTGGTCGTTTTAACGGGGTGGTCGTATGCGGGGTTCCACTGTACTTTTCGCGAATAGATTTGTAGACACACAAGGGGGACCAAAGAGCACCCCCACCCCCTCGCCACCCCCTCCCCACCCTCATGAAGATATGATAAAAGAATGCAAATTTTAATACAGAACAGACAAATGCTTTGTCTTGTTACATCGTTTATTTCCTAGCTAAGTTACGTTACTGATTTGAAGGAGTCTTAACTACTCTCGAAGGGCCGCTTCTTTTAGAAATTACTAACCATAAGAATGATTACACTGAACTTTATCGTCACTTTGCAGATGTGACACTCGTTATTTTCGCAACTTTTCGGTAATTGTTATTCGCTCATCCATTTGCAATTCGGCTGAGAGTCCAGAAAACAATTGGAACGAAAGGGGAAAGGGTTAGAAATTATGTTATAATTATGTTATATTGTGCTTCGTGCGAGCTTGGGTGGTTTTGTTAATCACAGCATGAGTCTATCTAAGAAATGCAAATCCACTACAATTCCCGTGTCTTTTAAGCAATTAAGAAATACAAACTTAGTGCCAGTCGATGTGGCTTAATATAATACGTAACAAACATAGCCATAGACATAGACACACACATAGACATACACTAAGACAAAGTTTATTCCACTTAGTCGCAAACTTAGCTATGGTACCGTGTACGGCGCATCCCATACGCGTACGGCGCATCCCATAGACCTTCCCGCTATTCATTTGTGGGAGTCGGATGACAGTGTTTGGGTTAGTTTCCTGTAAAGATGTTTGATCCTCTAAGGTCAGTCGTCTTCTATGCCAAAACATGCCTACCAATAGAGGTACTTTTTTTGTAGTTTTAATGTAAGTTATACAGTAATAGTTTCCACGAAAAAATCAATACAAAGTTCTAATATTTGAGCTGTAGGAATGATTTAAAGATTTATTTTTCATCAATTATTTCCATTATTATATGACTGAGAAAATATTCCATTGCGGTTGGCTGGGAGCAGGCCAATTGAGCGTCACATTTTCGTATATTTTTAGTCATAAACCACACGTGTCATCGTATGAAAGCGCCAGCTTTTAAGGACTTAAGCTACTCAAGATATTTTACAATACCTTCAAATTAGACTCGGCCAAAGGCGCGTAGTGTAAATCCTTTGTTACACTCGCATTCACACGATTACCTGTGCCATCTGATTTACAACTGATTTCATTTATTTCATATCTTGTTTGAGTAGTTGTTTAGTTATGATAAATTCTTAAACTATATTCTTACCTATTGTATTATCTGATTCTACTGATGTAATCCACATTCCAAATGCAAGCAATTTACGCAAATAATTTAATACCATCATTGCAACTGAATGATGGCCATTATTTAAAGGCTGCAAATCAGAGCAGAAATTCTTTTCCAACTAAGGCATAATAAATCCTTAGACAAATGAACAAAATACTGATTTACGAATACTTTACGATCTCAAACAGAACAAAGAAGCTCAATTTCATTTGCTTCTGTGTTTATGTGTATGTTCACTGTTATAGTTATTTATTTTTTGTCTTTATCTTGACATATTGTCGAGCAGCAAGACGGGTGTTGCGAGATGTTAACGACGTGAAATCTTCATCGTAAATCTCCATTAGGAGTTAAACATAAGTTCTTAATTGACCGTGTTCTGCCTCTTCATAGGACGGAGGCAAATCAACCTGCAAAGTTTGGTAACCTGTCGCAACAGCTTCATACGCAGGAGGTGGATCATCCATTTCTCTAGAATCTGGAAGTAGGACTATTTGTGGTTGGTTGTCCTGTGCCTCTGGGATGATAGTTTGGTCTGCAACGATTCTTGCGCCTGTTTGTATTCGAACGGCCACAGGAACACCATTAGACGCCTAAATCGTAGAGTAACTAATGTTAGCAGACTTAAAGTAGCAATTAGATAATAAACGTATCGATAGCATAATCTATTTATGTTGTGTGAAAGACCATTGGACAGACAATAGCGCACGTTTGATATAACAAAGTTCCAACATGGCAGCCAGGCTCTCTGCCGAGTTTCTATATTTGGTCTTGTGTTCGTTACATTAAATCTGCTAAGTCTCTTAAGTTGAGTCTGTTAGTTTACTACCCCGAAATTCTTGTCAGTAAAATACTGTAAACAAAACCCGTATTAACCGGCCACCCCTATTAATTGGCCGAGAAGGTGCGGTGTCCTCATGGTTTATAGTGCGCTCGACTCCGGATCGAATGGTCCAGGTTAGAACCCTGGCCGACGTCATTTTGTTGTGTTCTTGGGCAAGACAATTTACTCTCACAGTACCCCATTTCTCGTGCCTTGTCGTGCCCTGCAGGACACTGAATACCATTGGTTTCCGTAATCAGGCTCTGTTTTCCTGTGTAGGGTAATTAGCCCCACGCCAAACCCCCAACCTGCAGTGCCAAGGACTGTCCTTTATTCTGGTTTCTACCCTCTGACGTGCCCGGCATGATTGAATCTGCTAGGGAGACTGAACTCCCTGCCGTTATAGCTCTAGGGATCATGGAAATACACAAGCTCCCCTACCACTACAAGGCGACAGGTGAATAAATGGCTACCGGCGAATTTAATGCTGACTGTAACTCTGCGATAGACTAGCTTCTCATCCAGAGGATGAGTGGAAATACCTGTAGTCGCCTCATGCGACAGAAACCGTGATAAGCTCTGACCTGATGGGCCACTTGGCTCGTATGTAAACTTACTGTTTAATCGGCCGCAGTCAACTCTATGAAGCGGCCATAGCCACCTTCTGTTACTTTTGGTTTCTTTTGGTCTTTTGGAGGATTTCCTATTGTCCCTACACACCCAAAATATCCTACAGTCAAACACCTCGAATAAATGGGAGATGGGCGCTTAATAAGGACTCGTTAAGAAAGAGCGCGAACCGGGCTTAAGTTTCTAGAAACGTCAACTTATTCTCATACAAACATACTGAAGGCAACATAAAATCACGGGAAGACAACAATATATAGATTTAGCCAAGTCTAAAAGCGAAGCTCCTGATTGCAATAACTAACCATGAAGAGAAAATAGGATTTGTTTTTCCTGGATCAGAAATTTAAACAATGATCAATGTATGGGCATATCAAATTGTTTAGCGTGTGGTTTCACTTTTTTTCTAGTTAAGTTTTCACAAACTGACGAGACGATTGCGCAAGAAATATGTCAGAAGAAAAGTCAACAACGCGTCAAGGGGTTAATTTCCGCCGAAATTGTGCCTTTGCACGTGCTCCCTCCTTCTCCCCTAGAGTAATAACACTGCTTGAGCGTGCGATCCAATCGAAGAACCAATCTCTAGTCAGCGGTCAACTTCAATATGACACGCAAGCTCTAAACTTGAGCCCGAGATATGGTCACATGATACTGGTCATTGGATAGCTTGTTTTGACAGCTGTCAATAAACATTAACATGGATGCCCAAATTCAAAGATGTGGCTAATGGTAATGGTGCTACTCTCTAATTTTTTAAGGTATTGGCGTGCGGACGGACGGACTTACGGTCAGTCACGTGACAATGAATTTTTTTAGATCGATTGGTCACCAGATTTTCTAAGGTATGGGCTCCGCTCGCGCGCAGGAGCTCCACTAATAAACATGTGTTTGAATATTTTTACTACTGGTCACTTTCTATTTCTTTTCTAAATTCAAACTATGTGGCTGGATGTGCGCTAACCAGGAGTAAGGACAATAGAAAACCCTCTTCGGGAAGACGAAAAGGTGGGTACGGCCGCTTAATAGAGCTGGCTGGTTATTAACGGGGACTGAGAACTGGCCGCTTAACAAGGGATGGCCGCTTAAAAGGTGGTCGCTTCATAAAGGTTCGACTGTAGACGTAGTATATTGAAAAAATAAAACTACCACCAAATTCCACCAGCTACGTAGGCTACAGTCATACCTGTTGCTTTTGCTGCGTCAAGTGCTGTCCCTCTTCATATGACGGAGGCAAGTCAATGCGCTGAGGTTGGTAACCCGACGTCATGGCTCCGTACTGAGCTTGAGGTTGGCTCTCTTGTGCCCCACCGCTCAACTGCATCTGAGAGGCCACATGGACAATAGCAGGTCCCTGGGTCAATGCATAATCGGAGTTCGCGGTGTACATTACTTGCCTCTAGGTAAAGAAAGATAACAAAGATACTTAAACAAAATTAATTATGATTGGAAATATACAAATCGATAAACAAAAAAAAAAATTTGGTGGTTGCACTAATTCACTTAATAAAAAGGGCTCACCTGAGGTGATGGACTGTAAAAGCAACATATCCTCATCTTATAAACGCTCGTCGCAGCCCAAATCCCAATGAAAAATTCAATAAAATTGAGAGTCGAAATCATTGCAAGGATAGCAATTTCTGAACCCTGATCATAATTTCTGTTTCTTGCCTGTATCATGATCAGGATGAAGTAGACGCAGGCCAATCCCCCACCAAGCATTGCAGATATGACAGAAAAACCCTTGAACGCACAAGCCTGGGAATTAAACAAGATCACAGTGACATACATCTTACATCGTGAATTATAAAAACTGCTTTCAGAGCCGCCAGAGCACTTTTCGCAAGTCATGGCAAATGTTGTTTATTATGCAGTCTAGGATAAATAGCGGATATTACACTGTGGCGAGAGACAACATCTGACGCGTTCACTCCGCTCACGCATGATATATTGTTTTTGTCTAAGCGAACGTGTTATGTTCTTTTTATTATATAGAGAAAAACTACAAAAGTGAATCGAAAGCACAAACTGTATATCAACTGAAGCTCGGCAGCCGGAATATCTTGAATGTCTCTCCTTTGGTTAACATTGAAGAAACTCCTTGAATAAT